GTGTCGGTAAAAAGTGATGGATATGATAATTTAGGAGGCTGAGTTCCAAGCAAAACGGGAGAAAAACATCAAAGAACGCAAAAAGGCGATATGTCGCGTCTTGTCGAAGCGTGAACAGTACCGGCTCAAGAAGGCTCTTGGACAAGCGGCTAGCAGTAGTTGAAAGTGATACAAAATAAGGCAGTTGCTCTGTGATTTGTAATGGTTAAGCAAGAAGTGGAGAATATTCTAGTTGCCTATCATGCTGCGTTTTAGCCCACTTGTTGTTGATTTCAGATTGGTTGTTTTCTTGTCTGTTCTTGTTGTTATTTTGTTACGCGATAGAAACCATTGGTGATGAAAAAAATTGTAAGTTTCAGGAAAAAAACACATGAAAAATAAATTTATTATTGTTCAAGCATTGGTTGCTTACCGCGGATTCCCGTCCTTACCGCCGTTCCAGCCAGATCGTATTATTTAACTCGTGTTTCAAAGTCTTTCAGTATCAGATTTACCTTATTTATCGCGCCATATATGCCCCATACCCCGGAGATAAAGTGGGCGTGGTTGCGCAATTCATCCGGGCATGGCGTAGGATGCGCTTCCCGTGGGGTATTTCCATTCAAGACAAATGTATCCTGCCTTGTGCTGAGTAAATACATCATCACAGTTGTTTACAAAACAATATAACATTCGAGGGATAGCCGCTGTTACGCTCATATACATGAGGTACTTGGTCACGCCCCTCCTTTCAAATCATGTACGTAGTCACGCCCATCTACGGGATATGAAATATTGAGTGGAAAATAGTGGTAGTTTTTAAAAAACTGAGGGTCTTGGACATACGTGTGGACGTGATATCCACGACGACGGGCAAAGGCAGCTTTCAAAGAGTGCCAGCGTGCGTGCCATTGACACTAGGAACTAACTTATTGAAAAAGGAAGCTGTATGTAGAGTCAACACCTGATAAGGGTGGAATCTATTTGCGTACGCGTATGCTGTTGTAAGGGTCATGTGCTTCTCCGCGTATTCTGATGATTAAAATCGCTATGCGCGGCGTCGCATTACCGAAGCGTTGATAGGTTTTACTACACCCAAATTGGCACTGAAATAGGTGGCTGAAATATGAACATCAATGGTCGTGCCTCCTAAAGATAAGAGAGAATTTGTGCTGACCGTCAGTGTGTATTGATCATGTCTGGACATCGTTCATACTTTGCGTCAGCGCTCTAGGCGTAGGCAGTGCTTTGACGCCAATGTTTTGAGCTTTTCGAGCGCTGGGAGAGTCTAGGTACTGGTCCAGCGTTTACAGCATGCGCTCAAAGCGCTCGGTCGAAACCTATACTTTCTTGGCTGCGCATACGCTGTCGTACGCTCGAAGCGCTGATGTAACGTATAAACGCGCCTGGAAGGTTTTTGCCATGTACTGAAACTGAATTTTAAGGTATGACGATTGGGTTAGAGTCATGGTTCCACAATTTTTCCCAGTTCATCCAAAGAGCCAGCACACCTGAATCACTGGCTGATATTCCTCGACCGTACCTGGAATACTCTATATGGGGACTGTTCAAAGGAGCAGAAATCACAAGCGTTTTAGGTAGGTGTTTTAGCTATATTATTCTCCCAATTGAAGGGAAATTCATTTTGGCGGCCTTCTGATTATGCAAGGCTAACGGTTTTTTCCCCGGTGTAGAAGTTCTTTTGAGAGAAGCTGCGTTACACCCACTTTCCATAGCGGCTAGCTCTACCAGTTTTCCTATCTGTCGTGTTTTTAACTTCGACTGGCTCAAAATGTATGTGTTTTTCTTCAAATATTCGGATTAGCTTCCACTCGTCCCCCGTGCCAGAGTTTGAAAACGTAGTAAGAAAGGAAGAAGGATAGACTTGGTGCTCACCGAGTCTTATAAAAGCCATGTGGGCGGTTGTTGCAAATTCACTGGGTGAAAGAGCTGTGAGAGGGCGTTTGGCCCACCCCCCTCCTCCCGTTCTCCCTTCCACCAGTGGTCTTGATCAAAACCACCCGCCTACAGCGTTTGTGCCCAGTGCTTTTAAGGCGCAACCCTGGTCTGATTCAGGATCCCAGTGGCGTTTGGATGCGAGGCTTGGTCAGAATCAATGAGTTAGTCAGTTGATGGAGAAGTCAGCCTTTCTTTCGCCCGACTTATCGGTGGTGATACAGCAAACTGACTGTAGAGTAATGACAGGCTTGGTAGTCCATAGTGGGATTTGTTCTAGCTTTTGACCTGAGGGCTCTGCATCTAACTAGGGAAGGTCGTCAGGTCGAAGTGGCCATTTGTAATGAGATGTAGCTCACTAGACGTGGTTTTGGACGCTGATCTCGAATCTGCCTTCGAAATTTGCAGAACGATTCTCTGAACGGAATTATGAAGGTTTGTTAGAATTAAAATGAAGGAAACAGAGTCGAGCGCGGTTGCCGGCCATTCGCATGAATAGCCGGGAAGCACCATTACGATCAACGGCGGCATGGTGTAGTGGTAATGGTCTTGCTTCGCGGGCATGCTATGAAGGGTTCGGATTTCTGGAAGGGAACTTGTTTTGCATTTTGTGGGGAATGTCTCTTTTAAGTCTAGAAAACACTCAAACGCCAAATGGGTGCCATATTCGTGTTCAGGGAGCAAAACTACCCTTGGGGACAGGTTTCTAGCCAGATGTGAGGTTTTGACCTAACTTTGAAAAGTGCGGTAGCAGTTGATCGAATGATGGTCACCAATAGTTCCAGGGCCAGTCTCTTGTCGATTGCTTGTCTTTGGACGGAATTTGCTTTTAGATACCAGGAGCAGTAACAACATGGATGCGTAAGAAGTGGCAAGACGAGGCTTTGTGCAGGGGAATGTATCTGCAGCTGAATAGGTGTGAACATCAACTGAACTAACCCATG